CGCCAGGCCTGGATCTGGACAGCAGCCCAGTGCTCCAAGACTGGGTGACCGCCACGGACATTCAAGTAGTGCTCACAAGGCCTGCCGTGCTGGGAAACACCAGGGGCTCCACCGCCACTGCCCCTTACTCTTACTCAGCCACTGAGCTCCAGGTGGGTGGGCGCTGCAAGTGCAATGGGCACGCGTCCAGGTGCCTGCTGGACCCCCAGGGCCACCTGACCTGCGACTGCCGGCACGGCACCGAGGGCCCGGACTGCAGCCGCTGCAAGCCCTTCTACTGCGACAGGCCGTGGCAGCGGGCCACCACCCGGGAAGCCCATGCCTGCCTTGGTGAGGCCTTGGTTGGAGGGTGGCCTGGGGATCTGAAACCCGGCCGGCCTATCCCTGACCCACCCTTCCCTGCAGCTTGCTCCTGCAATGGCCATGCTCGCCGCTGCCGCTTCAACATGGAGCTGTACCGACTGTCTGGCCGCCGCAGTGGCGGTGTCTGCCTCAACTGCCGGCACAATACCGCGGGCCGGCACTGCCACTACTGCCGGGAGGGCTTTTACCGAGACCCTGGCCGTGCCCTGAGTGACCGCCGTGCCTGTAGGGGTGAGCCTTCAACCAGCCACCTACACGCCTCACCCTCCCAGGGTTTCCCCAACCCCAGATGGGCTTCTGACCATCCCACTTCTGTCCTCAGCCTGTGACTGTCACCCTGTTGGTGCTGCTGGCAAAACCTGCAACCAGACCACCGGCCAGTGTCCCTGCAAGGATGGTGTCACTGGCCTCACCTGCAACCGCTGTGCCCCTGGCTTCCAGCAGAGCCGCTCTCCAGTGGCACCCTGCGTTAGTGAGTGACGGTGCCCTGCTTGGACCACCTCGGCAGAGGTCACCCCAGCTCCGAGCTGCTGCCTACCTGGGCCCCGCAGATCCCTGGCTCCCCTCAACTGTCCCCTGAGCCCTGCAGATCCCCTGGCCCCCCTCAAATGCAGTGTATTATCCTGTCCTCCCCACAGAGACGCCTGTCCCTGGACCCGCTGAGGAGAGCAGTCCTGTGGAGCCCCAGGGTGAGCAGAGGTCCCAGAGGGGCATGTCCTTGGGGAGAAGGGGCGGTGGTTTCCCGAAGGGCCCGAGGAGAGAGTGGGAGGAGGAGGGAAGGAGATGGGGATCTGTGCCAACCTCCTCTTGCGCCCTCCTCCCAGACTGCGACTTGCACTGCAAACCCGCCCGTGGCAGCTACCGCATCAGCCTGAAGAAGTTCTGCAGGAAGGACTACGGTAGGCCGCCCTCTGGCCTCCCACCCTCAGGCTTCCTGCCCGACTCCCGCCCCTCCTCACCTTGCCCTCCCTACTCTCCCTCTGGAGGTCCTGACCCTCGCTGGACCCTAAGGCCATTCCCCCGGTCCCTCAGCTCCTCCGCGATCGCTGGCCCCGCCCTGCCAGCCCCCGGGGCCTCTCGGTGCTTCCGGTGCGGCGTGTCCGCTTTGTGTCCCGCCTCCGCGCCCCCCACCCGCACGCACACTTACCCGCACCCTGGGTGGCGCTCTGTGCGCCTCGGCTCCGGCCCCCTCCAGGCCCCGCCCCGCCTGACCCCGCCCCTCTCGCCTCCCCCGCAGCGGTGCAGGTGGCGGTGGGCGCGCGCGGCGAGGCGCATGGCTCCTGGACGCGCTTCCCGGTGGCCGTACTCGCCGTGTTCCGGAGCGGCGAGGAGCGCGCCCGGCGCGGGAGCAGCGCGCTGTGGGTGCCGGCGCGGGACGCCGCCTGCGGCTGCCCCCGCCTACTGCCGGGCCGCCGCTACCTGCTGCTGGGGGG